ATCATCATTTTACTTTTTTTAATGTTTTTGTATCATATTTTAATATATATGCTAAATTATTATTTTATCTAAATGAGTCACATGTAATAAAAATATGACTCATTCGTACATACATATATATACGTGTCAATCTTTAATAAAATATAAATTAGGTAAAGTGTACAAATGGTCCCCGACTATAGAATAATTTTTTTGTCGAGTATCTCAATCATTAAAAGTTATAAAATGGGCACCCAACTATAGGATATTGTTTTGTTGAGTCTTTCGACTATGAAAAAGTTACAAAATGGTCACTCAACTATTCATATGTTCCAAACTCGTCTTTTTCCGTTTAGAATTTGATGTCCTTTTTAGCTAGACATTAACATGTTGATTAGGATAAAATGAAATCATATTTTAATGATGTCTAGTGGCAACGTCTTTGCTTTCAAGCATTGACTCGACTACATATTCAAGCATTAGTTCAATAACATAATATAAATGAAAAGTTGATCTACAAAATACAACTCAAAATATTCTAAGATCATATTTTATCATATCCAGTCAACAGGTTATCATCCAGCTCAAAAAACTACTAATTTTTTAACGGAAAATGACGAGTTTGGATATATGAATAGTCGGGTGACCATTTTATAACTTTTATCGTCCTGTACTGGAAGCTGGAATTACGACAATTACAGTAGTTTGGGATGCTATTAGTTTAAAGAAAGCTATTGTCCCCTAGGAGAAAATTGTCTGGTTTCCCATGCACATTCCTAAGCATAGTTTAATCTCTTAGATGGATTTGCTTGCTAGGCTTCCTACAAGAGAAAGACTCAACCGTATGGGACTAATCACTGACTGCAAATGTATTTGCTGTGACGATCCTTTGGAAACAAGGGATCATATATTTTTCTTCTCTGTCCTATGGCTACATCAATCTAGAAAAATGTTTTTTCCCTCTCGGGACTTCACTTCTACCCTTGTTCGTGGGACACTTTTTGTGCAAGGGCTTTCACTACTTGGAAAGGCAAATCAATGCTCACTCTAATTTTGAAGCTATCTTTTAATGCCACTATCTACTTACTGTGAGAAGAAAGAAACAAGCGAATGTTCCAAGGTAGATCCAATAATGCTCAAGAATTATTCCATGACATCAGAGATATAATTGGATTGCACTTAAGCATTAGGAAATTCAATAGCAATAATAATGTTAATATTACTCTTTCTAGGAATTGGAATTTAGGGTGATCTTTGTTTTTGTGTTGTTGATCACTGCTACTTTGCTCTGATTCTTTTGTATCTTGTTGCTGTACAGGCTGATTTTGGGTAATAAAATTTTAATTATCCAAAAAAAAATGCTTTACCTCATCTCTAGGATTGTTTTCAATCATATCCACCTTGGCAAAAATGTGTAGGCCATGAACCATCCACCTATGCTCATTGTCAAGGGTTATCAATGGATACAGAAATTCAAACTTTAAATTTGTTCATGACCGTCTCTTACAAATGACCCTGTAAATCAATTTAGCTAAGCTTTAGTTGAAAGTTTTAGTTTTTACTACTCTGTGTAATTAATCATAAGATATGAATTATGACTTCATTTCACCTAATAATTTTGTCAAAATCCTTATTTAGTGACTTCAGCTAGCTCCTTAGTCTCGAGCAGCAATGAACATCCGAATGAATTTAAAATGCATCTTTGGGGTTCCATAGATCCTATTTATGTTTAGGTGCATGAAAACCAACAATAAACTCATTTTGTCAAAAAAAACAATATTAACACAAAACCAATGAGAAGTTAAATTGCAAAGGAAAAAGAAAAGCAACTCCAAGTTATTAGGACTGAGCCATGTCTATACAGGAAACAACATGCTGGGACTTAAATTGGTTTCTAAAATGGGAGAAAATGCAATCTGAATTAAGGAAAAATAAGATTTTGCTTCTCCCATCAAATGTACAGTTGAGAAGATATAAATCAGACACTCGGTTTAGCATTTTGTATCCTGCTAAAGGAATGTAATGCAATGGTTGTTGAACGATGAACAATAGAATAGTGGTGTCTCCCAAACCTTGTCCCTTGTCGTGCATCAGAAAGGTAATTGATTATGAAAAAATATGCAAAAATCAGTTGCACCAAAATCAATTCCAATCTTTATTGATTCTGCCATTATACATTCTACCCCTGGCAACAGAAATAGAAGAAAATAAAACAAAAGTTCCATCCAGGTTCGGAAGATATTTAAGATGGATGTCATTCCCCCTAGGCAGAGTGCATTCATTAGTAATAATTGTCTGGGGATATCAAGAGTTAAGTCACCATCTTCACCAACGTTGCATCCATTTACATCATATTCTTCACATGGAACAGCGTTGATAATATGATTCATATTTCAGTGAATATGGTCACGGAGGAGTTAAATTTTCTTTTGCGTAAACTTAGGAGAACGTAACAGGTATTATATATAGGGTAGGTATAATATAATGAATTCCATTTTTGCAGTTTGCTTCTTGGGATCTGCCATGCATGTTCTTCCCCAGTAACCGATGCTTTCATGTTTATTTAACCGGTTCTTGTAGTGTATCTGCCTGGAAAAAACTTCCCCTTTATATTTAATTCCAAGCCGGACTTGCTAGTTCTGAAAGTCTAGCTCAAGAAACCATATGATATTGCAGAAAACAACCCCGCCTATATAAATATTACTATTAATTGATGAGGCGATTGATTTAGAGACTGAGGAAGATGAGTCTGATTATACAACAGTTGGAGGTGGGGAGCAGTGAAGCTGACTTGGGTGCTACTGAATCGGACGGCAGAGAAAGTTGAGAAAAGTTATTAGGAGTTGAAGCGGCAGATTAAGATGATGCAGTTGTAGAGGAGATGGCTTTTGATTTTAATGCCCGTAAGATCCAGAACAGAAACCAACTGTTACAGTGGGATTCGAATATCAATGATTACATTAAAGGTCAACAGTAAAACTACATCAAATAATTCTTCCTACTCACAGATTTTCTATCGATATATCTTTGTAAGTGGAGAACTCGATTCCTAATTAGGGACTGAGAGGCCATAGGACTGTTTATATGGCCACAGTCTACTAGCATATCCAGACTGGCTCTTATCTTTGGGCTTTTCTTTTTGCGACAAAGCTACAAACTAGGAAAAAAACACTTTCTTTTTTCCTGATAAAACATTAAATTTTAGTTGATGAAGCTCTACACTAGATATATATCAAATATATCTCTATAATTTATATACAAGATAATAAAATAATTTAAATTTTTATATATACTACATTTGTTGATGATTTAAATGAGATTGTGGGATTTAAATGAGAAAATCATATACAATGATTGTTAGAAATTTAGAAGGGAAAGAAAATAAAAGAGTTGAAAAAAATGATGGAAAGAGTAAGAGAACATCTTCTATTCTTCGGTCTTTTATCATGATTTATATACATATAGTTAATATTGGTGTAAATATTTAGGGTGATGATAATTATTTGTGGATTGTCAGGATAAATAAATTTGACTTTTATATAGTAAATTTAACTGTCATATAATATATTTAGCTAATAAATTATGTGGACATGATATGTTAATGATCATTGCAAGAACTAACAGAGGTTGGTTCAAGTTGTAAAATAACCAACATATGTTGGTTCAAGTGGTAAGCAACTTGATATCGCTTAAGTAAAGTCTCGAGTTTGAGTCATTGTGTATGTAGAAAATCCCTATTAGGAGACTCACCCACCAAAGTCAGATGTGCAACGCGAATCAGTCCGAATTAATCAAGGCAAAACCTTGAAACCGGTAGGGCAACAAAAAAATGATCACGTCAAGAAAATGTAATTAGTTGGAGGACTGCAATTTTTTTATAACTTTAAGATTTTATATATAAAAGAATAATAATAGAGATATAATTAATATTTTTTTAAAAATATAACATTTTTAAATATTAGTTTTAAGTCAACATCGATCCAAGAAATGCATTATTGTTTTTAAGAGTAGAATTAATCGTGTTCGTTAAGTTAAATTGACAAAGAAAGCCCAAAGTTTCTTGCCAAAAAGGAAATGTTTGTTTATTTTCCCCTCAGCATTCAGCGACCTATTGTCTTTTCATCTCCGCTAATATATAGGATTTATGTGTATATATATTTTTGTCAAACCTGTAAATGAAAATCTTTTATGTAAATATATAAATTTTATAAAAGTTGTTTTATTTAATTTTTTATTTATTTGAAATAAAACGATATTTATAAAATTAGCCGTCTGAAAATATTACATCCGAAATACAGATTGGAGATTCATAAGCATAAAACATAGTAGAGGGAATAGATAAAACAAACTGAACAAAATGGTCAGCCTCTATATTTGTCCAACGGCGGATTCCAACGATCCGAAAACCTTGGTTAACCAACTTCTAAAAATAATATAGAATAAAGCTTAAGAAGTGATATTAATGATAAAGGATAGTAATTATTCTTTAAGTGATCGAACAATATTATGTGTATGAGTTTATTATATATTTTATATATTTTCTTTGTATTTTCTATTAATAATTTATTTATATCCTTTTAGAATTTTAAAGTTAATCATCTCTTAATATTTTAGAAGTTTGTCCCCTAAAAATTTTAAATTATTATATATTTTAGGTATTTTCTTAGTATTTTATGTTAATAATCTATATCCATCCCTTAGAATTTTATAAGTTCATCTCATATTAAAATTTTAGAAGTTTGTCCTCCGAACATAAAATCTCGTGTCCATATCTGTGTAAAGCTAAGATCGATACTACGATGGTATATCGAGAATGATAGAAATAAAAAAGATATTAAATAATATTAATCATTAATAATAAAAAGGAATATTTTAATCATTTTTCATGAACTGATTAATTCATTAATTATGTAAATAAATATTCAATGAAATCAATTTTACACGGGAAGAAGTATATTTCTACTTGCGTGTATCTATATATATATGAATTGAGTAGAAGTAGGGGAAGAACATTGGTGGTAGAAAGGAGGAGGTGAAAAAATGGGGAGAAAACCATGCTGTGACAAAGAGGGAGTGAATAGAGGAGCATGGTCTTTGAAGGAAGATGAACTTTTAAGCAACTACATTCAACTCCATGGTGAAGGCAGATGGAAATCTCTTCCTCAAAAAGCTGGTACATATATCAATTAAAATTGCTTCTTTTCTTACTCTTTCTACTTCTTCCTACCATCTTCAGTTTATCATCTTTCTTGTTACTTTTACATCTGCTGGTTTTTATGGTTAATAAATAAATAAAGGTTTGAATCGCTGTGGGAAGAGCTGCCGGCTGCGTTGGATGAATTATTTGAGACCTGGCATTAAGAGAGGTAACATTTCTCCCGATGAAGAAGACCTTATCATTAGACTTCATCGTCTTCTCGGTAACAGGTAACTTCTCTTTTTAATTTACTTTTATTCTGGATATTAGCCTTTCTATTAAGTTATTCCAATATTTTCACTCTAATGTTGTAGGTGGTCTTTGATTGCCGGAAGACTTCCAGGACGAACAGACAACGAGATCAAGAATTACTGGAACACTTTTCTATCGAAAAAGTCGAATTCCCATGTCTCAAAGACATTCGAAAGTGAAGACAAGAAATCTCTGAGAAAATCAATGTCGAGTACTACTCGTAATGTAATTGTGCCAAAGGCCACTCGTTTCACTAAGGTCTTACTCTCGCTTGACGAAGATGATCACTTTAAGACCAGCCAATGCCCTCCTTCATCCACCCCAGTTGATACCAATGATGGGTCAACACCAGAATCTTCAAAGGAAAACGATGTTCTGGATATGCCTAATGCTTTTGATTACTTGGATTTCTCAGAGATTGGGACAGAGGGCATATTTGAGAACAACAACGTGCTTGAAAGTGATGATGTTGCACCATTGTTTGATATGGAGTTCCACAATCTGACATATTCATTGGAACTTGAAGATGATTGGACTAATTTATTGTAGACGATAAAAGAAGACAAAAAAATAAATCAATTTTCATTATGGATATCCCTTGCATTGTTACTTCGTTACATTAATGTAGCTGCTTGATTTCTCCTTGCTAGTGATTCATATTTTAGGTTTTTTTTTTTTTAAATTTAACTAGCATGATATTCTATGCAAATTAATTACCATGAAAGTTATTTTTGTTTCTTATATGTAATTAATCATTAAATATGATTACACAAATCTCCTTAAAAACAGGATATAACCAGTAAGACTTGTAATGATTAGATTGAAATATTTGTGATCAAAAGGTTATTTTGAGAAAATAAACAACCGAAGGTTTAAATGGATAGAATAATAATTATCAAATAATAAATTAAACTAACATGCAGAGAACTCCACCCTTAATTAGAGTTCAACTTCAATATCAAAATTGGTCATGAAATACAGGTATTTCTTCATCTGATGGTAATTCAAACTTTACAATTTATCGAATGAGCTTTAATCCATCACTGATTAAATTTAAAAATTAGAAAAACATGACGTGAAAGGTGAACATAACTAAAATAAAATATTAAAATAAACTGAAGTGGTAGAATGAAGATAATCCCTTAACTTTTTAAAGGTGATTTCAAATCAGTTTTCCAAGTTAATTCTAAAAGATACATTATATGGAATAAAGATAAAAATAAAAGGAAAATAATTGTTTGTAGTAATCTTCATCCAAAAAAATATTTTAATATTAGTAAAACCCTACTTATTCACCACGAAGTTCCAAACTGATCAGTAAAACAAATTCCAACACCACGAAGTTCCAAACTGAGTAAAACAACTTCCAACACCACTCAACCTTCCTTTGAGTTTTCACCTTGAGCACGTGTTTCATTTCAAAACTAGTAAAATTTCCATTTATTGCACATTAGTCTTGCATCAATTACTATACCCACATCATTTGATTGTAAATTCTAAAACTCATATATTATATATAATAACCGATTATATATATTGTCTAATCATTGATATCTGATCTATTAATCAACTATTCCGAATAAAATCTTATAAAAATCTATTATGGAAGCGACCTTTCCAATCCAATTTATTCTGTTATCAAACTCATTATATATAATTCAATTGATATTATTGTTACTACAACATAAAAAATATAAAATTAAGTATGTTGGAATATTTAACAAATTTTAATTTTAAAATAAAAATATTAATACTTTAAATGTTTATATAAAAAAGTATAAAAATAAAAAATAATATAATAATTATTTCAAAAGTTCAGTATTTTTAGTCATTATAAGAAGTGATCCACAAACAAGCAATTAATTTTAGGTGAAAATCACATTAATAATGGCTGCTAAAACCAAAGCTAGACATTTATGCTAGCTCCACCACTACCTAAATAAAATAATTGAATAATGTTTTATCTATATTTTATGTGTATTATAATATTTGTTGATTTCTTTTTGTATAGTTTAGGTGTTCTTTGATTCGTCACATTAATTAATTTGGCAAACAAATTAAAAACAATTAGAGAAATTATGTAATAGCAATAAATATTTTAGTCTAAAAGGGGCCTGGGTAAAAACTGTTATAGAGAATTCAATGTTGAATAAAAGAGTTGTAAATATAGGTAACTGACGAATAATCGATGAACACAGTCACAGATCTTAATCCATTCCGGGGAAAAACAACAGAAGACGTACAATCATAGTATTACACATTCATACCTTGAGAAAAAAGAATTTCTCTAAAGTCCCCATGCAGACAATTAGTGATATGCGACGGAGGAGTCGAGAGGGATACGTAAGGAACCATCAAGGTTGGGAACCATTTTGACTATGGAGTATGTCGACACCGTTTTTTGTCTGGACGGGGAAAATGTCGATACCGACTCGAGGGTTTTCTCTTTGAAAGGAATTCTCGAAATGTGAGGAGTCGCCACCAATCATTTAAGGTGCGATTGGAACACCGAAAAAACCGGGAGATTTTAATAAAACATTTTATTTTTATCAAAATATTGAGTTTTATGGTCTGCGAAAATCTAGAAATCGGGTTCGGGAGTCAATTAGGCGTGGGGAAGGATTAGAACCCCCACAAGCGCCCAAAAATTGGTACCTAGTCGATTACCCTATATTTAAAATCGGAAATTTTGAGTTCGATCTTTATTTAATTTGAAAATCATTACGGATGCAAAGTTGAAAAGGCTATTTGTTTATTGAGACCGATAACATTCACTCGCAAGCGTAAATGTGGAAGATCAGCTATTGTGTTTAATAATCGAACATTGCCTCATTTTTAGAAAATCATGATGCGGTATTTGAAAGGATGTCGACCTATTTCGAGAATTACCAGTAGTCATCCCCTGAGCATAGTTGCGGGAGATATACTATTAATTCCCTAATAAATGAACATTGCCTTAGGTTTAAAAACAATGTCATCAAACAAATTATTATTCTTCCTAATTAAGCTAAGGTAAATTAAAGGCTTTTTATAGCTTAAGGTGTCAAATTATGAAAATTAGGGAACCTAAGAGACTAAACCTAAATGTAGGCTCTAATATTAATCCTATTTGATTTTAATCAATTATCGAATCAAATAATCGAGATGGTCCCTCGAGCATTTAGGTGAGGACCAACTAAAACTATTCCCTAAATTACAAGACTAGTTTGAAATCTAACTAAAAGTGGAGGCTATATTTAACATATTTAATTATGTCTATATTAAACACTAATCGAAGTTCGGGGACTAAAAAGGACAAGTTCTAAAAATATTAAGTTCTAAAAGATTTAAAAGCTTAAGAACCTAAATTGATAACTTCTAAAGTTGGGGGGCTAATTAACAACCTAATTTTTCTAAATTATTAAACTTAAAGTTTTTTTTTTAGAAAATATTATTTATTAATAAAATTTAAAAGTCGAGCAATGGGCATTTATACGAAAACTCGATTCGAATTTCTCCCTCATTAAACTAGAGTGTCGTCCTAATTGCTAAGCTTGATTCGAATTTCAAAATTAAATCTAAGAATCTACATTAAAAAAACATTTAATAAACTTAATTAAAAACAATAAATAAATAAACAAGCAACATAAATAAAAAATAAACCTAAATAATAGGACCTAATTGAATAAAATAAAATAACAGTTACTAAAATACAAGAAAATAAAAGTTAGTAGTTAAATAGGAAATAAATAGTGACCAAAATGCAAAAATTAAAATAACAGTAGCTAAATCATAAACTAACAGTGACTAAATTAAAATAAAACAAAAAAGAATGATAAAATTGCAATAAATTAGAAACAAAAGGTCCAATGACCAAAATGTAAAAACACGATAAAGTTTGGGGGACTAAAAACAATAATAACCCAAAAAGTAACAACATATGCACAGAAAAGGCAGAATTGCAAAATCAGTCCATGAATTTTCAAAAAAAAAATTAAAAGGTTACAACACATGAATAAAGTGTAAAAACACGCTAAAAGTGGGGGATTAAACTGAAATTATACCAAAAATTTTAAAGCAAAAACAAAAAATGGAAAATTATAAAAACAGTCCCTTCTAATGACTATTTTGTAAAAACAAATGAATTGTTGGGGGACCTAAAACATGATTTCCCCAAAAATTATTTTATAAATACAACTTTTTTCCCCTTTTACATTTTTTCATTTTTAGTTTAAAAAAAAATAAGAAAGGATGCTCTCCCTTATCTTTAGAATTCGGTCATCGTCGGCCGTCGCCGCCTCCAGTGGCCGTTGGCTACTAAAATTCACTAGAAGGCTCGTCTTGGGCTCCTCGTCACAAATCTAGGCTCGATTTCGCACGAAACGACCTCCATCGCCGTAAAAACGGTCGAGATCATTCAGCTTTCTGGGCTCCGATAACTACTCTGACGATTCAAGGTAACCCCGATTCCCTCTCTTTTTTTATTCTTTTTGTATTTTTTTTTACTGTAAAATGGGTTCATTGGATGTTAGGAAGTCTCGTTTTTTATTTTGAATAAAGACTTGTATTTTATTTTCGAAATCTACAAACATTGTTTCACTGAGATAAAAAAAAAACAAAAACGAAAACACTGAAAAAAAGAAAAGAAAAAAAAAGAAAAAAAGAAAAGAAAAAAAAAAGAAAAAAGGGATTATTATACTATTTAGAAGAAAAACATTGTTTATTTCTTCTGGTTGTTTCAGTGATTACACTGCTTTTTTTTCGGGATGTATTTAACCGACCCTTTTTACAGTTTCAAGCGTGGGTTAATATACCCGATTTTTACAAAAATCATCATTGAAATCTTGCTTGTTGTTTTTGCTTTGTTGTTTTGATGTGTTGCGTGGAGTGTGAGTTTGGTTTGCTTGTTGCAAGATTTTCTTATATGGCAGGGGATGGATTAGTGCATGGCAGTGGTGCCTTGTGCATTTGATACAAATTGGTGTTTACAGCTGCTCCTCTTTGCTCATTGCTGTGAAACAAGAATAAAGCAAAGGCGTAAAACACCAATTTTTATATGTTCGACCCATCAGTGAACTTCGAGCTCCAAGTTCTTCTCATCATTATCTGTCCACTAGAAATGTTCGTCCCTTGAGTGAGGCGTCGCTAATTCGAAATGTCGTAAATTGAGCAAAGGAAACAATCTCTTCGTAATGAATTCTCTACTTGGAAATGTTGATCCCTCGAGCGAGGCGTCACTGATTCGAAATGTCGTTGATCTAGCAAAGGAAATATTAATCCCTCAAGTAAGGCGTAGTTTGTTTTAAGAAAAACAATCTCTCGTGAGATAAATCTTCTTTTTCGAGTGAAACTATTTCAAATGAGATAAAAATCTACTATTTCGAGTGAAACTATCTCAAGCGAGATAAAAATCTACTGTTTCAAGTGAAACTATCTCAAGCGAGATAAAGTCTTATGTTTCAAGCGAAACTATCTCAAGCGAGATAAAATCTTTTGTTTCGAGCGAAACTATCTCAAGAAAGATAAAATCTTCTGTTTCGAGTGAAACTATCTCAAGCGAGATGTTGATCCCTC